CACACACACACACACACACACACACACACACACACACACACACACACTCTTACTTTAGCAGCGGCACTTGTATTACTGGGCTGTCCTGATTCTCTTAGAGAACTATCCAGCCCTCAACCGAACCCGATTTTGGGATGGGGGTAGCAAGCGGAATGCTGCCTGGATTTTCATAAAATGGAACACTAGGTTGGGGGAGGGGGAGGTTTATTAGACAAGGCTTAGAAATTCATCCAAGGAATGCTGTCAGCCCGCCTTCTCATGCACAGGTTCCCCTAGATAGGAGGGGGGTCCGCTGAACGAACCCCTCAGGTTCTTCGGAACCAACATTCCTTCTGGATCAGGAGACCCCCCTAGAAGTTTCTCTAGCTCAGTTAGCTAATGTTGCTCTAGCCTACCACGTGAGGGCGTGCACTGTGTTAGTTACAACAAATTAAACCTGGGGCAATTCCCCTGCGGAAGCCCCCCGGGACCGGGAGAGGGGTCAGCCTTCAGAAGGGCACTCTTCTCTCCCCGAGGCCCGGCTCCGATCCTGGGGATAGGGATGCAAGGAGACGATATTCACCCTGAAACAGGGCGCCCCCCTCCTCTCCCTCTCCCGGAGCATAGGGTGCGCCCTTTTATTTCCCTTTTCGGGGTTCTTCCCGGCCTAGGGCGGCCCCCAGCAGGGCACAGCTCGGTCAAGCACCGTCCGCACAACGCTGTTCCCCCAACGCTGGGTCCCGAGCGGCGTGGTCCGGGGAGATAAAGGCCTAAGAAGGGACTCCAAGAAGCACAAGTTGGTGCTGGCCCCGGACCAGGCTGTTGTTGTTCTCAACGTGGTCCGCCACCGAGCAATATAAGCTGCGCGCAGGAGCCCGCCCAGCTAGATCCCGGCGGTCAGACAGCAAAGTGGGAGCGTCACCATAAGCTCATCCCCAGCCCCAACCCTGGTACCCAGCGGCAGAAAAAGCAGCGGCTCCGGCCTCGCGCTGTTGCAAGCCGGCTCCTTCTGCGCTCGCCGCCCCCCTTCCCCGGAGCACCAAGCTCCCATCGCCTTCCTCTTTCCTTCCCGTCCCCCTGGCTTCCGCGCGCCGCCGGCCACCAACCCGCTCGCTACCATGTCGGTGGAACTGGAAGAAGCGCTGCCTCTGACCCCGGCCGAGGAGGCTCCCGACACCCCCGAGAAGAAGCCGGCCAGCAAGAAGGCCAAGGCGGGTTCGTCGTCGCTGTCGCCTTCCAAGAAGAAAAAGAACAACAAGAAAAAGAACCAGCCGGGCAAGTACAGCCAGCTGGTGGTGGAGACGATCCGCAAGCTGGGCGAGCGCAATGGCTCGTCGCTGGCAAAGATCTACAACGAGGCCAAAAAGGTGCCTTGGTTCGACCAGCAGAACGGGCGCACCTACCTCAAATACTCCATCAAAGCCCTGGTGCAGAACGACACGCTGCTGCAGGTGAAGGGCACGGGCGCCAACGGCTCCTTCAAGCTCAACAAGAAGAAGCTCGAGGGCGGCGGCGACAAGAAGGGCTCGGGCTCGGCCACCTCGCACCATAAGGCCAAGAAGGCCTCGGCCTCGGCGTCCTCGGCGTCCGCCTCGGCGCGGCGCAGCGACAAGAAGCCGGCCAAAGCCAAGAAGCCTGAGAAGCGGTCCCACAAGAAGGGCGCCGGCGCAGGGGGCGGAGGGGGCAGTGGCAAGAAGGACAAAGGCAAGGCCAAGAAAGCGGCCAAGAAGGCGTCCTCGTCCGGGGGGAAGAAGGTGAAGAAGTCGGCCAAGCCCAGCGTGCCCAAGGTGCCCAAGGGCAGGAAGTGAACGCGCCGCGGCCCAGGTGGGGAAGGAGGGGGCTGACGAGATGCTCCAAGGCGCTGGGGCTGCCCAGCCGGGGGAGGGGGCGGGGTGCTCGCCCCTCTCTAACCCGCCTCCTCTCTGCTGCCCCCTAGTCTTTCCTCCTGCCCACCCTGCGGTACCTAAGCTGTGACAGCCGCCACCTACCGAGTGCCCTCTTCCCTCCGCCATGAACTGAGCGAGTCGACCCGGGACCGAGATCTGGTGGAGAGGCGCTGACTCGCCGCCCAGTCGCCAAAATGGTTATTTTTGTAGCGATTTGCTCGGGGGTGGGGGAGGGGACGGTTTTTTTTTTAAGCCCTTTGTGTAGGTTTTGTACTGTTTGTTTACAGGGCAGCCCTAGCTCCAGCCCCAGGACTCTGTTCCCGGCCTGAACCTCGGGGGTCCCGGAGGTCCGGGGTGGGGTTGGGGGGAGGAATGGGACACGGGGATGTATCTGTTGCCTTTCTGAGTTAACCCTCCCACTGCTTCGCCTTCTCCCATCCCCGCCCCCGGCTGCAGTAGCGATTTTTTTTTTGGTTGTTGTTTGCTTTAGAATTTTGAAACAGCCCCGGCGACGCCCCTATTGGCTCTCGCCATTGGCAACAGGACGGTCGCCATGGCGACGGGTTCGTATGCTCCAATTGCTGG